GTGTTAAAATCACCCTGGTCCCGGACATCACAGTAAAATGAAGTAATGAAATCCCCCATAAACAAAATTCAGTTGAAGATCAATAAGACAAATTCAGTTGCAAGATTATAAGACAACATTCATTGCAAGATCACATAAGACAACATTTAGTTGCAAGATCTATAAGACAACATTCGTTGCAAGTCATATAGACAAAATTCAGGTTTTAAGATCATCTAAGCAACATTCAGTTGCAAGTCTATAAGACAACATTCAGTTGAAGATCTCATAAGACAAAATTCAGTTTCAAGATCTCATAAAAACAAATTTAGTTGCAAGATCTCATAAAACAACTTCTTTTCAAGATCTCATAAGACAACTTTCAGTTGCAAGATGATGATCAATGCTTAAAAAAACTGCCCCTGGCGCGCGTATGAAGACAACTTTTAGATTTCTGGGGCATTTTAAAAATCCTAGTTTTAGTGAGGGGACAATGGTGGTGATTTTTGGGGTTTTGTTTATTTTAGTTTAAAATTTTTTATTATGTACCTTATTCCATCCTGTGGGTGGTAGTCAAAAAAATTCAAGGTAATAATTAGTAAGGGCTGGATCCAAGTTTGATAGTGAGCAAGTTACAAAGGTAATGAATAGATTGGTGGGGGGGGGGGGGAGGGGGGGGGGGGGGGGTCGGGGGGTGGGGGGTCGGAGGGGGCAGGTAAGGGGGGGGGGGGGAGGGTTTTGGGGTTGGGGGCCGGGGGTGGGGGGGGCCGGGGGGTCGGGGGGAGGGGGTTTGGGGGGGGGGGGGGGGGGGGGGGGTGGGGGGGGGGGGGGGGGGGACGGGGGGGATGGGGGGTGGGGGGCGGTTGTATTTGGAATATTTCCAAAAATTGCACGAAGGAAATCAGAGAAATCATTATTCTACAATTTCTGTGAATATTATTCCATTTAATCAAGTAATAAAGGAAGAAATAGGTAAAATAAGTGAATAAATTACTTCCAAGATATTGGCCTGGAACGCCGGCCGGCCCACCGTCTCAATTTTTTTTTTTTTTTCGCGAAAATCGCGTTTGTTTGGGTGTATTTCTTAGTAAACTGATGTTCTAGTGCAGTTATCCTCTTCAAAACACCGTTTTCTCTTACTCAGAGACCAAAGAATACGACATGGGGAGCAGTAACTAATTTATATGGAAATATTCCCAATTGTCTCGCCATATTATGGCTTATTTTATTCAGTCTAAGTATATAACATGTTTGTATGTTATTTATAGTGTTTGTTATATCATATTAGATTAGATCAATTCTGAGAGATAAATAAGCCGTAGAGTTCATATATAAGCTGATATAAGCGTAAAAATGAAGTAATTTCTCCTGGCTCTCTCTGTAGCAGGAATACTGCCTGTTTTCCCAGATGGTTCCTGATTGGCTGGAAATCTACGGATAAGCTCCACCTACTCTTTTATGATGCCAAATAGTTAGTTATTATATTAGAAAGAATAATGCAAGAAAAAGCGATAAAAAACAAGGAAAAAATTCCAAAAAATATATGGGCTGTGAGCAGACTCGCTACCCACATCACCGTCACTTTACCTGATATAAATGACTATAATTTCTTGTAGAAACGTCGTAGAACATTAGTCAGTCAGGCGTCATTACCACAGGTCTTAGTGATCATTTCATCATTTACTGCACCAGAAAAATCACTAGGGATAGGATAGGCCTACACAGGACAATAAAAATGAGGTCAACTAGAAACTACAGTAAAGAAACACTGGTAAATAGGCCTACACAATTGTGACTGGACAGAGATAACAAGTTGCACGGACGTAAACGATGCCTGGGAAAAATTCAAAACAATGTTCACTACCATCCTTGATAATATTGCACCAGTTAAAGAGGTTAGGATTAAACAAAGAACTGAACCCGGGATGAATACTGAGATATTAGATAATATGAAATTCAGAGACCAGCTGCAAAAAAGATTTAAAGCAAACAGACAGGATATTGCAGCACTAAATGAATTCCAAAGGGTGAGGAACAGATTTTACAGAGACTTATAAAAGGAGCAAAGGCAAAGCACATTGCTCAAAAATTGAAGATTATAAGCATAACCCCAGAAAGCTCTGGCAACAACTAAAACAGTTGGGTATAGCCATAAGCCAGTAGATGGTCTAACATAGTACTCACTATCGATAATGAGGTATGCCACGAAACATCTAAGGTGGCAAATTGCTTTAATTCCTACTACACATCTGTTGCATCAACACTAGTAATAAACTACCAGCTGCATCAAATACCTTTAACACAGACTCTGATAAGTTTCAAACATACTATACCAATAAAGGGGTAACCCCAAACAGTTGTCAACTAGTAAGTGATCTCATGACTTTAAATTTATAAAGAACTAAGCAGGTTAAACCCAACTAAGAGCACAGGCCCTGATAACATCCCGTCTAAGTTCCTAAAAGATGGTGCTTCTGAACTGTCAATCCCTATTACTCACATAATAAATCTATCAATCACCACTAATACCATACCGGAGGGGTTCAAGGAGGTCAGAGTTACTCCTATCTTCAAGAAAAATAGTAGGTCAGATGTAAGCAACTATAGGCCTCTTAGTATACTCAGTATAATATCTAAAAATTCTAGAGAGGGCGGTGTATTCTCAAGTTTGTTATGTACCTTAATGACAACAACATTCTCCATAGCTATCAATCGGGCTTTTGAAGACCTACCAACCGACAACCCCCTTATTAATCTGATGGATTACCTGAGAACTGAAATGTCAAAGGGAACCTCCATAGGTATGGTAACCTTAGACCTGCAAAAGGCCTTCGATACTGTCAACCACAATATATTATGTAATAAACTTCAAGCTATCGGTATAGGTTCTGTAGACTGGTTTAAGTCCTACCTTAGCAACAGGAGACAAATAGTCAAAATCAACAAAACAGAATCAGAACCCCTCCGATAACATGTGGAGTTCCCCAAGGTAGTATTCTGGGTCCCTTATTATTCTTATGTTATGTCAATGATATGCCTATCAGTGTCAAATGCAAACTCCTACTGTATGCAGATGACAGTGCTCTGTTAGTGTCAGGTAAAGACCCACAAGATATTGCATAATGTATTTAACACTGGAACTGGAGTCCTGCAGCAAATGGTTAGTAGACAACAAACTATCATTACACCTAGGGAAAACTGAAGCCATTCTCTTTGGCACGAAACATAAACTGAGAAGGGTAAATAATTTTAATGTTCAATGTAATGGGGAGCCCATCACTTTGGTTTCATCAGTAAAATATTTGGGAATCCCCTTTGACCCATGCATGTCAGAAGAATTGATAGGAAACAGTGTAGTAAAGAAAGCGAATGCCAGACTGAAGTTCCTGTATAGACAAGCACAGTGTCTACCTACTGAGGCTCGCAGGACCCTATGTCTAACCCTTATACAATGCCATATGGATTATGCTTGCTCTTCTTGGTACTCTGCCTTGACAAAAAAACTGAAAGTTAGACTGCAAATCACCCAGAACAAAATCGTAAGATTCATCCTGGGGCTGGGACCAAGAGAACATGTAGGCCAGGATGAATTACAGCAGTTGGATATGCTGAATGTTGAAGACAGAGTAAAACAACTGAAGCTAAACCATGTTTATAAAATTGCTCACAAACAATGTCCAGAAATCTTGCTGTCAATTTTGTCAAGGTTGGGAACCGCAGCAATCATAGCACTAGGGGGAGAGAGCACAACTTTGTAGTACCCACAGTCATTGGCCAGGCGTCAAACACCTTTTATTGTACAGCAATAAAGGAATGGAACAGGCTACCCGCACATGTCAAAGCCAGTCATAGCATGAACCAGTTCAAGAAGAGTGCCAAAAGGTGTCTGATGAATGTAGCTACAGAAAGGGAGGGGAATGTTTTTTTTTTTTTTTAGCTAACATACGTGTAAATTTTACCTTATTCCTAGTAATGACCCTCGTATTGTAGATAGTCTTAATGACCCTCGTGTAGTAGATAGTCTTTTTAGTATGATAATAAGATGTTTTTTTCATTATAGAATAATAAAATATTATAACCTTTATATTACAATAATAAGGTAAAAGGACCCCAATGGAAATAAGTCACTCTGTCTGACTTTTTTGGGTTATCCCAGGTTCTCTACACATATGCTGCTATGTATGATAATTCTATGTAACTGTATTTGTGTATACCTGAATAAACTTACTTACTTACTAACATTGATTCTTGTACCATTGTGTTGCCAAAGACTTAAGCTATTTTTCTGTATAAATAACTCAATTTCCATAATTTTTCGATTATTTTTTTGAGAGCGCGTGGAAAATTGCCCTACAGCCCCGTAACATCTCCACTATAATATTCTTACCACCAACCTTCTCTCTCCATCACTCTAATTTAAACACATTTCCATATATGGTTTTTAACAGACTGTCCATCTATCATCTATGATAGATTACTTCCTCTTCAATATAACTTACTATTAAACTTACACAATAAAAAACATATAACTTGAATGTAAAATGTATAACTTAAAAGTGATTATCACAGCGGTAATAACTGACTCAATATTCTTGTTCAATCTCCTCGTAACTTCAATATTTTTCCGTTCAATAATATAATCATCATAATTTTCTGGATCAGAATTGCCATAATCATCGTCCTCGTTATTGTCACTATAATAATAACCGTTTTCAGTCCTCACTATGAGACTGTGGTTCATCAAGTTCGAAATAAAAATCATCATCATCACTATCATCATGATAGTTGTCTTCATCAGCAAAGACAAGTTCTGTGGAAAATTGCATTTATCTAAATGTAAATCATTCTGTACATAAGAGTAAATGATAACAAAGATAATTATTATTTATCAAAGTTACTTAGACAAGTAGGAATTTGTGACACCTAGGTCGCAAAAATGTCCTCCTTCGATATCCCACTGTCATAACCACAAGTTGCTCTGGACCTATTAATTAATTACAAATGAAATATTATCACCAGGAATTCTGTTAAATATATAAATTTGTGGATTGTATATTAAAATTAATAAAGGGTTATATATATACAATTTGCATAACAGAAGGAGAATATCTTAATATCACTCACCAATTTGACTGGAGATTAATGTGTATCATACTCAGAAAACCTCACTGTCTATCTATGAAAATAACACTGGCCAGGTTACAACATAAGGCTTATCTGAGGTTCCTGGAGCTGTCTTGTCCAGTCGACTGATACTCAAGTTATGCAGGAATGCACATTCAACAATTTCGGCTCCTATTTGAGAGGTGTCAACACAATTTTACCTCTAGTTCCGGGGGCATTGACCCCCGGAACTCTCTCCAGGTAAACTCCAGGTAAATCAATGGTGAGTCTCCTCTGTGCAGGCGCAGTCTTCGCATTGTTTACACCATAATTTTTATTAACATATTTTATTAATTAACCTATTAAGACTGTATTTTAGCAAAATGTACTCTATGTTTTCCAAAAGATCAAGCCGTTCAAGCTCTTCCTCACCTTCACTAGCTTCTTGTCCCTGCCGTTCAAGCTCTTCCTCACCTTCACTAGCTTCTTGTCCCTGCCGTTCAAGCTCTTCCTCACCTTCACTAGCTTCTTGTCCCTGCCGTTCAAGCTCTTCCTCACCTTCACTAGCTTCTTTATCAGTGGTTTCCATATCAGTGGATTTGCTGTCCGTTGATTCGCTGTCTGTTGATTCGTCTGAAGAACTGAGGAATAAATCAGAGACAACATTTTCATAATTTAATTTGGTTTCATTTTCGTTTTCCAGATCAGAATTATTGTTCCTTATTTTGTCTTCCTTACATTTTTTGGATGGAGGAAACAGAGAATGTTCGTCTTCTCTCTTCCTTTTAGCATCATTGTCTGGCACACACTTCTTATCCATATATTCGTCCTCAGAAGATTCGTCTGAAGAACTGACCAACAGATCAGAAAGAAGATTTTCATTCTTTGTTTTTGTCTCATTTTTCTTGTCCTGACAACAAGTGTTGTTGCTCATTTTTCCTTCATTAGATTTTTTGGAGGGAGGGAACTTAAAGTTTTCCTCTTCTCTCTTCCTTTTAGCAGCATTGTCTGGCATACACTTGTATTTATTTGATGAATCCATTACTGATGTTTATACTAACAAGAGTAACAAGATATACAGATTACCAGTGCAACCTAGTATAATATATCTCTCTTGGAGATTATAGTGAGGTTGGAATATACTAACAAGAGTAACAAGATATACAGATTACCAGTACAACCTAGTATAATATAACTCTCTTGGAGATTATAGTGAGGTTGGAATATACTAACAAGAGTAACAAGATATACAGATTACCAGTACAACCTAGTATAATATAACTCTCTTGGAGATTATAGTGAGGCTGGAATATATGTATTGTGGTGCTTATTAGCAATATATTGAAGATGCAGTGAATGTATTATAGTGAAGATGTAGTGAATATATTATAGTGAAGATGCTGTGAATGTATTATAGTGAAGATGTAGTGAATATATTATAGTGAAGATGTAGTGAATGTATTATAGTGAAGGTGCAGTGAATGTATTATAGTGAAGATGTAGTGAATGTATTATAGTGAAGATGTAGTGAATGTATTATAGTGAAGATGTAGTGAATGTATTATAGTGAAGATGTAGTGAATGTATTATAGTGAAGATGTAGTGAATGTATTATAGTGAAGATGTAGTGAATGTCTTATAGTGAAGATGTAGTGAATGTATTATAGTGAAGATGCTGTGAATGTATTATAGTGAAGATGTAGTGAATGTATTATAGTGAAGATGTAGTGAATGTCTTATAGTGAAGATGTAGTGAATGTATTATAGTGAAGATGCTGTGAATGTATTATAGTGAAGATGTAGTGAATGTATTACAGTGAAAATGCTGTGAATGTATTATAGTGAAGATGTAGTGAATGTATTACAGTGAAAATGCTGTGAATGTATTATAGTGAAGATGCTGTGAATGTATTATAGTGAAGATGTAGTGAATGTATTATAGTGAAGATGTAGTGAATATATTATAGTGAAGATGTAGTGAATATATTATAGTGAAGATGTAGTGAATATATTATAGTGAAGGTGCAGTGAATGTATTACAGTGAAAATGCTGTGAATGTATTATAGTGAAGATGCTGTGAATGTATTATAGTGAAGATGTAGTGAATATATTATAGTGAATATGTAGTGAATGTATTATAGTGAAGGTGCAGTGAATGTATTATAGTGAAGATGTAGTGAATGTATTATAGTGTTGATGCAGTGAATGTATTATAGTGAAGGTGCAGTGAATGTATTATAGTGAAGATGCAGTGAATGTATTATAGTGAAGATGCTGTGAATGTATTATAGTGAAGATGCTGTGAATGTATTATAGTGAAGATGCATTGAATGTATTATAGTGAAGATGCTATGAATGTATTATAGTGAAGATGCAGTGAATGTATTATAGTGAAGATGCATTGAATATATTATAGTGAAGATGCAGTGAATGTATTATAGTGAAGATGTAGTGAATGTATTATAGTGAAGATGCATTGAATATATTATAGTGAAGATGCAGTGAATGTATTATAGTGAAGATGCAGTGAATGTATTATAGTGAAGATGTAGTGAATGTATTATAGTGAAGATGTAGTGAATGTATTATAGTGAAGATGCAGTGAATGTATTATAGTGAAGATGCAGTGAATGTATTATAGTGAAGATGCATGAATGTATTAGTGAAGATGCAGTGAATGTATTATAGTGAAGATGCAGTGAATGTATTATAGTGAAGATGCTGTGAATGTATTATAGTGAGATGGAAGATTAGTAAGTGAATGTATTATAGTGAAGATGCAGTGAATGTATTATAGTGAAGATGCATTGAATGTATTATAGTGAAGATGCAGTGAATGTATTATAGTGAAGATGTAGTGAATGTATTATAGTGAAGATGCATTGAATGTATTATAGTGAAGATGCAGTGAATGTATTATAGTGAAGATGCAATGAATGTATTATAATGAAAATGCAGTGAATGTATTATAGTGAAGATGCTGTGAATGTATTATAATGAAGATACAGTGAATGTATTATAGTGAAGATGCATTGAATGTATTATAGTGAAGATGCTGTGAATGTATTATAATGAAGATACAGTGAATGTATTATAATGAAGATGCAGTGAATGTATTATAGTGAAGATGCAGTGAATGTATTATAGTGAAGATGCTGTGAATGTATTATAGTGAAGATACAGTGAATGTATTATAGTGAAGATGCTGTGAATGTATTATAATGAAGATACAGTGAATGTATTATAATGAAGATGCATTGAATGTATTATAGTGAAGATGCTGTGAATGTATTATAATGAAGATACAGTGAATGTATTATAGTGAAGATACAGTGAATGTATTATAGTGAAGATGCTGTGAATGTATTACAGTGAAGATGCTGTGAATGTATTATAGTGAAGATACAGTGAATGTATTATAATGAAGATACAGTGAATGTATTATAGTGAAGATGCAGTGAATGTATTATAGTGAAGATGCTGTGAATGTATTATAGTGAAGATGCTGTGAATGTATTATAGTGAAGATGCAGTGAATGTACTATAGTGAAGATGCAGTGAATGTACTATAGTGAAGATGCAGTGAATGTACTATAGTGAAGATGCAGTGAATGTATTATAATGAATATGCAATGAATATATTGCAGTGAAGATCAAGTGAATGTATTATAGTGAAGATGCAGTGACTGTATTAGTGTGAAGATGCAGTGAATGTACTGCAGTGAATGTACTGCAGTACATTCAATGCAGTACATTCACTACAACTTCACTCTAGTACAGTCACAACATCTTCACTATAATGCATTCACTGCATCTTCACTATAGTACATTCACTGCATTTTCACTATAGTACATTCACTGCAGTGAATGTACTATAGTGAAGATGCAGTGAATGCATTGTAGTGCAGAAGCAGAGTGTATATTGTAGTGAAGATGCAGTGAAATTTATTATAATGAAGATGCAGTGAATTTATTACAGTGAATCTGCAGTGACTGTGTTATGTTGAAGATACAGTGAATGTATTATTTTTAAGACTAAAAGGTCGTATTAATGTTTTACCTTACAAAACCACTGGTGTTGTCACCATGACTTTAAGGTTAGGTCGCCGGTCCATGAACAATGCTCGCTGGACCCAGACTCGCAGGTCACAATTACACAACATGTCCAAATAGGTAATGAGGCGAGCAATGCTGAAGTAGTCAGCTTGAGCGGCTGCAGGTTGGTTCCTGAGGACCTCAGGTGCAATGTGGTGGGCCTTGGCACCGTCAGGGAAGTTAACTTTATGGCCGAGAGGAACAGCAAGTCCATAGTCGATGATGGTTACACGGAGCCCCTCACGTGTGCGGTTTATGCAAATATTATTTGCTTTGATGTCGAGGTGAGTCCAGCCATGAGAGTAAATGTCAATCAAAATATTGCACACCTGTGAAAGAATTTCCAAAGTCTGGAGACGGCTTAATGCACGTTTTTTGGTAAGGGTCTCCAAGGTTTCACCGGCGTACTCTGTCACTATGGTCAAATATTCTGGACAGACTGCTATTATCTTTTGGACTCCTGGGATGTCCTGAAGGGCGTGAAGGGCGTGCATCTCTTGTACTAGGGATCTGACACACATTGATGTATCTTGGCAAGATTTTGTTACCCAGCGTGAAGAGGATACAGAAGCCAGATAACATGTGCCATAAGTTCCTGATCAAAGCATCTTACAGCTTTCACTCTTAAGCAAAAAGTTGTGCATAAGAGGCCCAAAAACATTAAACTCGAATTGTCTGCACATACTTTGCAGACACTCTACAATTTTTTTCTGTGGGACGGACTTCATTTGCTCCCGTTTAGAAACATTATGTTCAGGTTGCAGCCATACACGTTTGCAAGAGTCCTTCCTGTCCTCGTGTACGGACTCCTACCGCACTCTTTTCAAGTTTTTCTGATTCTGCTCACTGAAATCCTGAGCAGCCATCTTGAGTTAACGACGATCAGATAAACTGATAGAGAAGAACAAAATAATGAATTACTTCTTTTACACAAGACGGTGAGAAGATGCTGATCAAGTCTGTGTAGACTATATACTTAAATATAGTTAAGCTTGACTGTAGCAGTGAAAGTACTGTAGTAGTGGTAGTTGAGTGTAGTGGTGGTAGTTGAGTGTAGTGGTGGTAGTTGAGTGTAGTGGTGGTAGTTGAGTGTAGTGGTGGTAGTTGAGTATGGTGTTTTGATGTGATGGGTAGTTGAGTGTAGTGGTGGTAGTTGAGTGTAGTGGTGGTAGTTGAGTGTAGTGGTGGTAGTTGAGTGTAGTGGTGGTAGTTGAGTGTAGTGGTGGTAGTTGAGTGTAGTGGTGGTATTGTTTTGAGTGTAGTGGTGGTAGTTGAGTGTAGTGGTGGTAGTTGAGTGTAGTGGTGGTAGTTGAGTGTAGTGGTGGTAGTTGAGTGTAGTGGTGGTAGTTGAGTGTAGTGGTGGTAGTTGAGTGTAGTGTGTAGTTGAGTGTAGGGTGGTAGTTGAGTAGTAGTGGTGGTAGTTGAGTGTAGTGGTGGTAGTTGAGTGTAGTGTGGTAGTTGAGTGTAGTGTGGTAGTTGAGTGTAGTGGTGGTAGTTGAGTGTAGTGGTGTATTGAGTGGTATGTGAGTTTGTTGGTGTATGTCATAGTCGTTAGTTGTGGTCAGGTTTTTGGTCATGTTGTCAGCCTTTTGTTGGTATCGGGCTGTGTGTCGATGTATGGTGGTAGTTGGACGTAGTGTTATTCAGTGTATGTATTCCATCGTTTATGGTATGGTTCCTTGTCAATTTAGAGTCGTTGTGTAGATGGTTGTCTGTGGTATTCCAGTCGTTTGGTATTGAGTTGCTGTCATATTAGTGTGTCTGGTATGAGTTTGGTACTTATCATGTTCATTCATCGTTTTGAGGGTATCCTGTATATTCTTCATGGTCATAGTTTGTTGAGTGTTTTCCTGTCATATTCCATCGTTCTGGTCGGTTTCCTTGTCATATTTTCCAGCCTTCATGGACAGTTTCCCTCTCATATTCCATCGTTCTGGTCAGGTTTTCCCTGTCATATTCCATCGTTTTGGTCAATTTCTCTTTCATATTCATCGTTCTGCTGGGTTTCCTGTCATATTCCATCGTTCTGGATCAAGTTTCCCTGTCATATTCAATCGTCTGAAACTTTTCCCTGTCATATTCCATCGTATCTGGACAGTTTCTTGTCATATTCC